CGCTGGCCTAGTTTCAGAGTTTCTAGGCCACCAAAACCTCGGTCATCAAGGCCACGTAAACCTAAAAATTGTTATATCTCGGCTCAAAATGGGAATTTTCGAGTTCTCCAAAGTGGTGTAGAATTCTCGCTCTATCGCACACATTCTGCAAATAACTATTCTCGAAAATCTGGTAGTTTCAGCGCGAAATCCCTGTCCAAATGGTAGGAAATGGGAGTAGCGCCGGCAGTTACTCCCGCTATTCCATGGCTCAGGACACAATTCAACGCTACAGTAGTCAGAATTCGTCTTCTGGAATTTCTCCACACCAGAGATTATCATCGTATTCATTGCACAGTATAGTTGGTAAGAAGAAGAAGAAGAGATTTAGACGAAAAAAGTGGGAAAATTTGGGAGATTTTGGTCAAAATTTGGGTAAAAATTGGGTACAGTATGGTCCAAAAATAGTGAGAAATAAACTTAAAAATGCTAAAAATGGTCTGAAATGATCAAAAAATGTTGAAACGGACTGAAAACGGCTCAAAAACAGACCAAAGTGAATTACAGAGTTTTGGTTGGGGTTACAGTAACTTTCAGGGTTACTGTAGATTCTGGGACACGGTATTTTCCTGTGATTACTGTATGAAGCCGAGAATACTGTAGCTTTCCAGGATTACTGTAGCTTTTTGTAACTACTACAGATCCTGCTGGCAAGGAGCTGTAGATCCGGGATTACTGTATTTTTTTTGTTTTTTGTTCTTCTTGGGAGTACTGTAGCTCTAGGAATACGGTAGTTTCCTAGGATACTGTAGATAGCCGAGAACACTGCACATTTCTAGGCTTACTGTAGTTTTTTGGGTCTACTGTAGCTTTCGATGACAAGGAGCTGTAAATCCTAGATTACTGTAGATTTCTAGGATTACTTCAGTAATTCTGCCAAGGAGTTTGTGGGTTACTGTTGTTCATATTGGGATTACTGTAGATCCTGGAATACTGTAGACTTCAAGGATTACTAAAGGTCCCAAAATACTGCACATTTCTGAGTGTATTGAAGATTCTGGATTACGGTAGTTGTTCTGTTTTCGACACGATGCTCAGGTACTGTAGCTTTCTCATTGGATTACTGTACTATTTTGGGATTACTGTAGCCCCCCCCCCCAAAACCTCCTTTTTCCATGTTTCTAGTTTTTTTTTTCCCGCTCTTTTTGCTTCCCACAATTCGGAAGAAAAATAATCCGTTATCCACACATTACGGTCGTTGAAAAAAGCGAAAAATGAGAGAGTATGGAAAACTGAGAGACGCAGAGAGAGAGAGAAGAGAGGGAAAAAGTTTCGGGAAGAAGAAACTTCTGGATTTTTCAATTTTTCACCTAGCACTTTTTTTTTACCCTACCGCTTTTCAGTTATTGGAAAATTCGCTTTAATGCGAAAATTCTGAAAATTTTTAAATTTTCCAAAAATTTTTGATTTTTAGGATTAGCTGATTTTGGAATTTTTGAATTTTTGGGAAAAAAAAAAATTTTTTTTCGAATTTTCGGATTTTTGAATTTTTGAATGTTCGGATTTTTGAATTTCTGAATTTTTGAATTTTCGAATTTTTGAATTTCCGGATTTTGAATTTTCCGATTTCTGAATTTTTGAATTTTTGAATTTTCGAAATTTTGAATTTTCGGATTTTTTGAATTTCTGAATTTTTGAATTTTTGAATTTTCGGATTTTTAAATTTCTGAATTTTCGGATTTTTGATTTTTTGAATTTTTGGATTTTTGAATTTTCGGATTTCGATTTTTTGATTTTTTGAATTTTTGAATTTCTGAATTTTCGAAATTTTGAATTTTCGGATTTTTTGAAGTTTTTGCAAAAATGCGCTCTATAGAGAATTTTTTGAAAAATTCAATTTTTGAAAATTTTTTAGAACATTTTCTAATTTCTAAATTTTTGAATTTTCCTATTTTTTGAATTTTCGGATTTTTTGAATTTCTGAATTTTTGAATTTTTGAACTTTCGAATTTTCGAATTTTTGAATTTTTGAACTCTTCTGGATTTTTTAAATTTATAAATTTTTAAAAATTAAAATGCTCAATTTTTTGAGTTTTTAAATTTATATTTTTAGAAAGAAATTCTGTAAAAACGCGCTTTAATCATAATTTTTAAAAATTTGCCCAAAATTTAAAATTAAGCATTGCATTGACAACGCGCTCTAGTAATACAAACGCTATTTTTAGAAATTTTCGAAAAATCAAGTTTTTTC